TTGTCCAATGAATCGCGAGGTTTTCATCAAAAACTATTCCCTCTGGGAAATTTCGTAATAATCAATTCAAATTCCCTATCCCGGCACTATTATTCGCGCGCGAAACAAACAAACCTAAGATGCCGATACAAAAATGCAAGATTTTTTTTAATAACCTAGTAAATCGCACTACCAGCTCGGAGCCGGTAAACCAATTAAAACTCAACTAATTTTAAAGTATCAAACTCGTTTCCCGAAAGCCCGCTCTATTCAATGCGAAGCAAACAAAGCGCACACGGTAGTGACGTGGGCCCCGATGAAATTTTAATTAAAAACCTACGAGCCGGCCAAATGCACCGACCCGGGCGGAAAGTCGCTGTGAAAGGTCCAAACTGCCACGTTAAATGAGAGCCGTTAGTCATATAAAGTTGCAAATAATTGACCTTTAACGGTGTTTTAGAATTAAACATTCCTAGATGTTTTCTTTCAAGTAAATCTCTTTTCTCTTATATTTAAAATATTTAGCAATTAATTAAAGATTAAAGAAAATAATGGGACTGTTTTGTAATATCTAATGATTATTTTAAAGATTTTGTTTCGATATTTAACCTTGATTACAAATCTACTGGGCTTAGGCATAGTACATAATCTGCTACATTGCCTAGTTTTCATTCAAGTATATAAAGTATGTTAGATATGATTTATGCTAACTATTCGGATATTTCACGTTCAAAACAGTTCGTAAACAGAGAGACCAGGGTTGTCTTTATGATTAAAAATCTTAATATTTTCATTGACTATTCAAACTAATTGGTAAATTTGGTACACTCTTATTGCTAGGAATTTAAAGTGGTTTGACCACTTAACAGCGACATCGTGTGACTTGGTTTGTTTATTCTTAACTGTCATATGGCAGTGGTCCAACACATCAAATCCAAAATTTTGTGGTGGGGACATAGTTGGCTTGTCTATTTGCATAAGTTAACCCGCTAGGATTTAATTATCATGTGTACGTATAAAATGGCGCGTATATTACTTCAGGACAGCGTAATTTTTTTTTAGATAAAAATCAGTATCGGTTCTATAGTTTTGACAAAAAAAAAGTTTTGACAACAAAAGGATATAACAATGGATGCGCCAAGCATTGTTCAAATGCTAAAATAACAATGTAGATAAAATACGTTAAGATTTTCTTCGGTGTGACAATCAGCCTTTTAGCTTAGCGTTAAAGCGTCAGGCCGTGAATGCCTAAGAATTGGGTTCGATTCCCACAGCGGCGACAATCTTTTCGTACTTTATCTACAAATTTTAATGTTTAATCTAAGTGCAAAGATTAGCACTATAAAAGGGTACCAAAAAAGTTTTTGTCGTTCAAAATAAATATATTAAAATAATTTTAGACATGTATGATACAAGTGTGTGATAAGTATTTATGGTCATCCGATGAAAGGACCAACGCGTTCGTGCATCCACTTAACGATTCGCTGGGCGTCGGCTAATTTTATCCGTCTCTCTCCGCCCCTCTGTTTATTCGGGAAATTTTAATAACGCAAAGTGCGACGGCAGCTTCGCCCCAATTGCCGTGGTGTTAAGGTCCAATTTCGGTAGGCGTCCCAGCGTCAAACTGGTGCACTTTCATTAGATCGTTTGCCCGTGTTTAAGTTAGCAAAGCTTTGTTGCTATACGCAGCGATGTTTCGTTGATCGAATGAACCAGCCCGTCGATATTATCTTCGGCGGCGTTGAGAGAGCCTGAAGCGTCCGTCAATCGAAAACGGTAATAAACATTTTACGTGTACTCCACCCATTTTAGACGTTCGAATATAAACAAATGAATTTACAAAATATAAACATGTGCAGAGATTCCTTTGGAGAAACAATTATTGGATGACAATTTATTAATAGACTAGCTGACCCGGCAAATGCTGTTAGCACAAGTTAGCACCTATATTAAGGTTTTACTTATTCTTATTTTAATTCTTATCTATTATTATTCTTCACTAGCTCTCCCCCACCCGCTTCGCCGAGTCATACTATTCTACTAAGTTCAATGTATTGAAGCAGAGGTTTAATATATAAAATAGTTCAGCTCGCAAAGTCGATTCCCTGCCACCTGTCGAACACTTTAGAAAGAAGGAACTAAATTGCCTTTTCTGCTTGCGTCGGATCTTAATTGAATCTATTTAGAGGTGTCTATTGAGAGTTAAATAAAACTTGAACAGACGTGCTTCGGTCTATTGAAAAAGACCACTAGTGCCTGAAGACCAAGAGTTATTCTAGTTCTAGCTACTGAATGTTTTAGTATTTATTTACTACTAAATTTTATACCGCTCTTTAATGTTTAATTAGTTCCTAACACAAAAGCAGTTAACAGTTAACAATTTGAACACAAAATTTCATTCAATCAGATTTTCTAGGTAGGATTATTCAATTATAATACAAAAGTTTATAGTCTAGATACTATAATCTCAATTACCTTTAAAATCAAGATTGTCATTCGCAGATTTACATCGAAGGCACTGTCGTGTACGGGGAACACGTAATGAAACACCGAGATTCACATGCTAACTGTCTTTATTATTGCTGCGCACTTACCCTCCACATTTATAATAAATATACCGTCAGGCACTTTTGCAGTGTTTGCATACAAAAGTTTTGCAAATCGAGAAACTGTCGACACATTTCACTATTCCCCAGCCAATCGCTTGCAACCCCCGGCCTACAAGCCGGCAGCCACCCTGTATTTCCGCACCCCACTGCAATGGAGCCGACACGTCAAGAGATATCTCGCACTATGACAACCGTGGACAGCCTCGCTCTAGTTTTATTGTAGATAAGCTATAACTTGGATACTTTACGTGCGTTAGAGCATTTTCTTGCTGGATAAAGCGTTGACGATCACTCCTCTAATGTGCCTGAACAGATTTTTAATTTTAATCACCATCTCAACTATCATTACAAATGTATTTGTGTATTGTGTCAACATTTTATGTAATATTAAATTAGTGTAAAATTGATACATTACTACATAGTATAAAACAAAGTCGTCCCCCTGTCTGTCCCAATGTATGCTTAGATCTTTAAAACAACGCCATGGATCTTGATACGGTTTTTTTTTACTAGATAGAGTGATTCAAAAGGAAGGTTTATATGTATAATACATTGCACCTACGCGATGCCGGGGAGGGTCGGGGTGACTCTAACATAATGGGCTAATTAATCTGACATTATATGAGTGTCTTTTATAAAATTAGTCTAATAATAGCAAGTCACAGTTGTCTTATTAGGTTATGGAACCAGCACGCTTCCTCTGGGTCTAGATCTAGAAGCAGGGCATTTTTTTTTTCACAAATGTGATTTATGGGTGAGATATTAATATTTTTCCATCGAGATACAGTGACATATCTTCGTATTTCTGATACATTACATTTGTCCTGATGATAGCCGAAACGAAATATCGCGCCTGCGAAGCCACTGTTGATATCTACTAGATGAAAACATTGGATATATTTTTTAGGAATTTTTGAAATGGTTTGTCAAAGACATTTCTAACTAGACAATGCTACAATGACGAGAGAATCGCCTATAATTTTTTTTTTATATTTATAGAAACAAAGACTATTTAGATAAATGATTATTCAAATAATTCATTCGAATGGTAGTAATCTAAGATTTGATAAATAGTAATATATGGTATAAAAATATACAACAACTATTTATAAAATTCGTTTTTAAAAGGTTTTTTTAAATCTTTACTTTTTAAACAAAAATATTTTTAAAGGTTCGGTATCGTATCTGCAGACACAGGTTTAACAAAGTATCTTTATTCAATATAGGCTTAACTTAAGCTCTTATTGAACGCCAACAAAAAATCTACAATCATTTAAAGGACTCAAGTTACCGATCATACTTGAGACTGATAATTGTCTTCGTTTATCAAGGTCAGTTAAATACAACAGATTCGCGAGAAACATTCGTCGTAATGGAATTAGCCATTCCCCAATATTTGCACCACCGTAACACAACAGACGCTAGGCTAACAGTTAGGGCAAACATTGCGCTAACATTGTTATCCTCCGTAAACACCGCTTGTCTAATGGATTCGCCGTAGAGATGTAAGCCACCCCCGAACTGACTGTGATCCAATTAACAAACACCAATCTTAACTAATCTGCAATGATCACTTGCAATTTAGATTTTTTATCATTTCAAATCAACTTTTATTTCAATTCATCTTCAGAAGCGAAAGAACTACCAAGTAATCATTCATTCTTTTGAAAGATAAAATTGTGTAATCCATATCACTATGTTAAAAAAACACTTTTTCCTAATGTCTGGGTATATTTCTATAGTAGGTATTTATTTTTAAAAGAAATATTTTCGAAAGAAAATTATGTTACCCGTGCAAGCTATGCTTTGGGACTACTAGAAAGGTTGTGTAAAAATGTCCTATCCTGAAAATACTGATAAGTAAATTTTAATCTCTTGAGGGCTCATGTATCAGTTTTACGACAAAGAATGGACCGCGGTACAGATTGAGAAGCGCCGCTTGCATAATTCTCATGTAATTCTTTCATCGTCATCTCCGCTAATGCTGTTAGCAATAGAAGCTTTCATCGCATTCGTATAATCGTATCGGATGTAACGTATTTAATGCAAACACACGGGCAGGCGCAGTATATGAACTCTCGCGCGGCGTCGCATTAAGACGGCCATTAAAATTATACGACCCCCTTTACGACCTAATACCTGGTCTACCGACGAGGGCCGAGCATCTTAGATAACAGCATCATGGACGCATCAAGATTCAGAGAATAGTTTAAAACTTATGGAGACTGCAGAATATGGTACAAGTACGAGTTACAAAATGAAACTGTTCAATAAGTCAGTAGCGCTTCATTTTATTCTATCTTTCCTAACTTTTCATCATATTACAACGTGGGCCTTTTTGAGACCTTTGTGAGAAATTTCCAGTGTCCTGTGAATGTGTAAGCAAAATGCTCAGCAAGTTATTTGTTCCAGACCTCCAATTCCCTATCGACGTGTCGGGCGTCCAGAACGACCACCCGTTCCTCGACGCGGACTCCCTGCAGTCGCTGTTCAGGCGGCTGACTGCCCTCAACCGATGCGCCAACATGAAGCTGGAGCACCACCATCATCAGAAACGATCTGTGAGTTAAAATAAAAGCAACAAGATATCGTCACCCCCCTGCCCTTAACTATCCACCCCAACTAGGTGGGTCAACATAACATGCGAATCGTGCTGTAAGCGGTTTAGGCTATGTCTTTCACGACCGGCCGCATGGCTGACGTTAAACCTCCTCGGGAAAGAAAAGCAACAAGACAACAGTTCATAATCCTCATCATCCTTATCGCTTTAAGTCCACCTTTTGTGTTATTTGATGTTTGACCACAAGGTCGTGAAGTGAAACTGTTATAGTTCTTCTTTTGCTTGCGGGTATCTGTGGGCCAATTTATTGAAAGGCGGCAACGCATCTCCAACCCTACGGGTGTTGCAAAAGTCCACGAGTGGCAGATATTACTTAACATCAGGTGAATCGCCAGAACGCTTGTCATCTTCTTATATAAAAAAAAAAACACCAAATACCACGATGTAAGTAATAATCCATACTCTGCATAGATTATATAGAGTTTTACAAGAACACATACATAAAAGTAATAATAAACTTAAATAGTTTAACCTGAATCCATGTGCATTTCTATCAGCCATTGGGTGTTTTGGAAAATACAATTATTTTAGTAAATGTAATATGTGAAAAATACAATCACTCTCAGCTGTTGTTGCTATAAGTAAAATATTATATCATCTTGTTGTATATGCACTACTACTATTATTGTATAATATGCAATACAACCGCAGCATTCAAGGTGGTGAACTGGTTTTAAATTATTTCTAGCAAAGCAAGTTTAGTCTCAAGGACTATTATTAACAAGGCTTCACTGGACACATAAATTAATTTAATGTTATCTAAGCTAACTCAATTAGAGGTTTTTGGTTGCTAACTTCATTAAATTCTCTTAATTAATGAATATTTAAAATACATTAGAGTCTAATATCTCGTTGATTTCTAACTAAGCTACTTGAATTAAGTTAATTAAGTTCTCAAGATTAGTTCTGTTCTCAGTTAACGAAAACTGTGTTATTAAAAATATCCACTGTTACAATTTTTCAAAAAAAATTAAGTTTTAACATTGTTCAAAGAAATTGACGGATGACCCGCTGAAGTGTCAAAGAAATCTTGTCGGTAATTGAACGGGCGATTTTGATTGAAAAACTTTTGCACCTTGTTACAAAAGTCCGACAAACTAGTGAGAACGGGCCATTTTTTATTTCTCCCGAACCTTCCTCACACTTTTGTGATTTCTCGTTCATTAATTACGTGAAAGTGGTAGAAAAACTTAAAATGATAATGAGGTTCAGACAATATTGGTTAAAGAAATTTATTACTTTGTCTGGGGTCTTCAATTCGAACGTTTTTATGTGTGTGGCAAGCGAGCAGGTGGTTCGCCTTATTTTCTTAAATTTCCTCTGAATAATGATATTTTAATACGACGATAAATTTTCATATCGTTTTCGAAAAAGACTGTGGTCAACTGATGTGCCTATATTCGCTAAGAATAATTTGTGAGGAGTGATCAACTGAGTACACATCGTCACTACGCTTTGATTAGTATCATTAAGACCTTAACATGTTTTTCGTGTGTGGAAAATATTTCTTTCAGTTGAATATTTAAACATTTTGACTTGAATTACCTTTGCCAATTAATACCACATATTTCGTTAGTACTGATTCCATAATAATTTTCGAATATAATGTCACATGAAGTTCCATAATTAAAGTAACGAGTGTTCGCCCATTGAACGAAATTCGACAATAATAAATTATACATAATAGTGTGTATATTTTTATGCATATTACATTAATAAAATATTAGCTTTCTGCACTCCTGTTTATATAAAACTGTAAGTGTGGGAAATTTCATACTCCTCCATCCGCTCAGGTTTCGTAAAAAGGGGTACAAAGTTGTTGCTTCACGTACGAACATGTTGATTATTAATTTTATACGTTCACAAACATTACGGTGGTAGAGCCACGCAGCAGCCTCGGCTGTTGCACGAATGGGCAGGCTCGTCCGTGTAAGTGCCACGACCTCACAGAAGACCGGCGTCAAGTGGAAGTATATTACTTTCGCGTTTCGTCTGGTGTAGTTAGCAGATGTCCATGGGCGGCGGTATTCACTTAACATCAGGTGAACCGTCTGGTCGTTTGGCAACTTTTCACATAAAAAAAAACGATCGTGTGTTGAGATCCCGAATGAGGTTTTACTGCGTCTTGAACCGTAAAAAATATCATAATTAATTAATGTTTCTTTAAGCAGCTTAATGAAGACTTATTTCATGACGCTTAATAATATTTTCGCATTTATTACGGTGATACATACTTGTTTTATTGAAGGTATTATATTCCATTGGGGATAAATGACATGCTTAGTTAGCAGTAAAATCGATTTTACTAGCATCTGTCGATTATAAATAGTCATGAAATTTGCTTAATCGATTCCGAGCCCTAAGAAGATTATTGTGGCCATTCGCGTCACAATCATTTTAAATTGACGATAATTTAATTTTTTAAAACAATAATAACAATAAAATTTATTAATTAATCAATGGTAAGTTTTTGATAATCATTAGCAGCTTTCTGATATATCATTAACAGCTTTAAGATAATTTAAGTTTTAAACAATTATTGTTTTTACATATACATTCCAACTTCACTACACATAGTATAAAACAAAGTCGTCCCGCTGTCTGTCTGTCCCTATGTATGCTTAGATCTTTAAAATTACGCAACGGATCTTTTTACTAGATCGAGTGATTCAACAGGAAGGTTTGTATGTATAATACATTACACCCGTGCGAAGCCAGGGCGGGTCGCTAGTTCATGTATTAAGCAGAATTATTTAGAATTAGTGAAAACTTGAAGTGAGGGCCTTCATTCCATACTTTCGTATCTGTACAGTAGAACAATGGGAGTATTTTAAAAGTTAACAGACCTCGGGGTCTTTTAATTTTTCTTTGGATTTCCCTTTTCAGAAAGAAGATAATTTCAATTTGCTCGCTTCGCCGTACCAAATTAACAGGCGTTGATAGCACTTTAAGCAATTTACACTTAAATTATGTTCATTGAAATATATTTCTGAAAAATTTTAACAATGTAGTCTTTAACACCGCATTACAAACAGGCAACATCTAAAAACAATGGTATGTCTAGAAACATAAAATTCTGCACTCTTTCTTGTGGGGAGAAAATATGGGCGAAAATATTAAAAAATAAAAAATATTAAGATAGAGTAGGTACCATCATCATCATCATTTCAGCCTGTTTGAGTCCACTGCTGAACATAGGCCTCCCCCATAGACTGCCACGAAGTACGATCCTGAGCCACCTGCATCCATCGACTTCCCGCACATTTGCACAGGTCGTCACTCCATCTAGTGGGGGGTCGTCCCACACTGCGATGGCCAGTACGAGGCTGCCACTCGAGAACCTTTCTTCCCCAACGGTTATCGGTTCTACGAGCTATATGGCCGGCCCATCGCCACTTCAGCTTGCTAATCCTCTGAGCTATGTCGGTCACCTTAGTTCTACTGCGGATGTCTTCGTTACGAACTCTATCACGCAGAGAAATACCGAGCATAGCCCGCTCCATAGCTCGCTGAGCGACTTTGAGCTTCCTCATACGGCCAGCAGTGAAGGACCACGTCTCGGTTCCGTAGGTCATCACTGGCAACACACATTGATTGAAGACTTTAGTCTTCAAACATTGAGGTATATTTGACGAGAAGATTTGCCGTAGTTTCCCGAACGCTGCCCATCCGAGTTGGATTCGCCGATTGACCTCTGCGTCGAAGTTGGACTTACCTAGCCGGACTAACTGTCCTAGGTAAATGTACTCGTCAACAACTTCGAGCTCAGTGCTCCCAACAACAACCGGTATTGGCGTGACATGGACATTAGACATGATCTTCGTCTTGTCCATGTTCATCTTAAGGCCCACCCGTTGGGAGACACTGTTGAGGTCATTGAGCATAGTACTAAGGTCCTCCAGCGATTCTGCCATGATGACTATATCGTCGGCAAATCGGAGGTGGGTGATGTATTCGCCATTGATGTTAATACCTCGTCCTTTCCAGTCCAGAAGCTTGAAAACATCTTCCAACGCAGCGGTGAAGAGTTTCGGGGATATGACATCACCCTGTCTTACACCCTTCTGCAGTTGGATAGGTTTTGTACTACTGGACTGTACTTGGACGGACATCGTAGCCTTGTTATACAAACACCTCAGCACCTCGATATACCGACAGTCAATTTGGCACCGCTGAAGAGCCTGGAGTACCGCCCAAATTTCGACAGAATCGAAGGCTTTCTCATAGTCCACATACGCTAGGCACAAAGGCAGATTATACTCTTCGGTCTTCTGTATAATCTGCCGCAAGGTGTGTATGTGGTCTATGGTACTGAAGCCTTTTCGGAATCCGGCTTGTTCGGGAGGCTGGAAGTCGTCGAGTCTGGAAGCGAGACGATTCAAGATGACTCTTGAGAATAGCACATAGACGCGGCTCAGAAGGGATATCGGTCTATAGTTCTTCAAGAGAGCGTTATCGCCTTTCTTGAAGAACAGCACCACCACACTTCTGCTCCACGCCTCTGGTGTAGCACCACCCTGAAGGACGGAATTAAAGAGCCTCTGAAGGACTACAAGTACCGGTTCTCCACCCGCTTTCAGAAGCTCTGCTGTAATTCCGTCCTCTCCTGATGCTTTGCCATTCTTAAGATGGTCAAGAGCCATTCTAATCTCGCTCAGACTGACGTCCGGGATATTATCGGAATAGTGTCGGATAAGCTTTGCTCTTGGGTCGTTACTCACACATGTGTGTGGCTCCAACGACGATGTGTACAGCTGTCCATAGAACCTCTCTATCTCACTCAAAACCTCTGGTCTACTGGAGATGATAACGCCGCTGTCAGTCTTCAACTTAGTCAGTTGGCTTTGTCCGATAGACAGATCTCTGGCGAAGACTTTTGAGCCTAGGTTCCGCTCTATAGCTCCCTCAATACGACCTGTATTGAAGTTGCGTAAGTCTCGC